TCTCGTGTTCTTTCAACTGACGTGACGCATATGCAATGACCTTGCCTCGCTGCATTAGTACACAACCTAAACCCATTTTTGATGCATCGCTATAAATGACAAAATCTTCTACTCCTTCCGGTAGTGATAAAACCAGTGCAGTGCTTAGTCTCTCCTTAAGTGTCTGAAATGCTTCTTCTTGTTTCGTCCCCCAATCAAACTTAATCGACTTTTTTGTCAATGTTGTCAAAGGCGTTGCTATTTTGGAGAAATCTTGGATGAACCTTCGGTAATACCCTGCTAGGCCTAGAAAACTTCGGATTTCCGATACTGACTTTGGTGATTCCCAGTTCACGACTGCATCAATCTTAGTCGGATCCACCTTGATTCCTTCCGTGTTGACTACGTGACCGAGGAATTGTACCTCATGCAACCAAAACTCACATTTTGAGAACTTGGCGTWCAATTGCTCTTTTGCTAGTAATTCAAGAATCAACCTTAAATGTTGCTCATGCTCCTTCTTATTTTTCGAATAGATCAAAATGTCGTCTATAAAGACTATGACAAATTGGTCCAAATACGGTCCACAAACTCGATTCATCAAGTCTATGAATGCCGCAGGTGCATTTGTTAACCCAAACGGCATTACTACAAATTCGTAATGTCCGTAACGAGTCCTAAAAGCGATCTTTGACACGTCCTCTTCTCGAACCTTCAACTGATGATAACCTGATCTCAAATCGATTTTTAAGAAACAACTGGCTCCTTGCAACTGATCGAAAAGGTCGTCGATCCTTGGCAATGGATATCTGTTCTTTATCGTGATTTTGTTCAACTCCCGATAATCGATGCACATCCTCATCGTGCCGTCTTTCTTTTTGACGAATAAAATCGGTGCTCYCCATGGCGACGAGCTTGGCCTGATAAACCATTTATCTAAGAGTTATTGCAATTGCTTCATCAGTTCTTGCATTTCTGTTGGGGCTAAACGATAAGGCGCCCTTGCGATTGGTATCGCACCTGGTACCAAATCGATTCGGAACTCTACCTGACGTTCCGGTGGTATTCCTGGTAATTCATCCGGAAATACTTCTAGGTAATCCCTTACCACTGGAACATCATGTATTGCCTTCTTTTCGAGCTTGGCGTCGATGGTGTATGCCAAGTAAGTCACACATCCCTTCCGCAGACACTTATTCGCCTTAACTGCATTGATTAACCCTACGCAACACTTCTTTCGATCACCGTAAACATGAATTGTTTCTCCTTCCGGAGTTTGAATCTTGATCATATTTTTATTGCATACTATTTGCGCATGATTGTTGGACAGCCAATCCATCCCCAAGACCACGTCAAAACCCCCTAAGCACATTGGCATAAGCCTAACAGAGAAATCCTTCCCATCTATAACAATTGTGCATTTATCAAATACTTCGTCTACCTTATACTGACTACCGTCGGCTGTTTCTACAGTGTAGGTTTTGTCTAGCCTACAGGCACTCCTATTCAGATAGTGGCAGAAGGTAGTAGACACAAAACTATCATTTGCACCCGAATCAAATAATACATGTGCATACACATTGTTGATAGGGAACATACAAGATACGACGTCGGGTGTTTCCTTGGCCTCCTCCAAAGTCATGTTGTACGCTCGGCCGTGTCCCTTAGGTAGCTCCTTCCTATTTTCCGATCTCTTCCCAAATTCGTTATTCTCTGTCTTTACGTGGGGTGTCGCACCATTTCAATGTTTTGGACAGTCAGGTCGTAAATGTCCCGTAGCCCCACATTCATAACAAGTTTTTCCTTCTGGGCACTCTCGCGTGGTATGCCCAGGTTTGTCACCTTTGTAGCATGTCAGGCTCCCCGCTCTGCACTCTCCCCTATGTCTCTTATTGCATTTGTTACATGGAGGAATAGTGAATCCCTCGCTTCGTGTTTTTGCCAGAGTCGGAGTCCATTTTGGTTTCTTGTTGAACTTGTTCGATCCTTCCCATCTTCTCTTTGCCTCTCTTCTATCACAATTCTCCCTAGCGTTGTTCTCCTCTGCCACCTTTGCCATCTCCACTGCTTGTACAAATGTGGTTGGTTTAGTCATATCTACGTACCGTTTGATTTTGATTCTTAAGCCATCTTTGAAACGACCTATCTTTCTCTCCTCGGTAGCCACCTGGTAACTGGCGAACCTCGCTTTTTCAAGAAAATCGTTAACATATTCTTGAACCGACAACGAACCTTGCTTTAATCTCAGAAATTCTGATTCTAGCTTGTTCACCACCGATTGTGTGCAGTACTTATCCATCATCATCTTTTTCATTTGCTCCCAAGTCATGGCAGCAATATCCTCATCACCTCTGATTGCACACTCAGACTCCCACCAATGCAATGCATAGTCCACAAAGGTTTTAGCAGCATAGGTCACTTGATCTTCTGTTCATCTACAAATTTTGAAGCTACTCTGCATCTTGGTTACCCATCCATCAGGCCAACTGGGCCCTCTATTCCCTTAAATTCTTTCGGCCCGATGCCTTTGAATGTTTTAAAACTGCATCCTTTCTCCTTTATTGTCAATTCAGTTCTCTCGTTGGTGGGCAACTCCACCTTCGCTTTAACAGATACTTCCACCTTTTCAGTGGCTTGAGTGTTCTCATGTCGAACACTTTCCTCCTCTCCATCTTCGTTGTCTTTAAATCTGTCACCTAACATTTCTTTAAGCATATTTGGCAATGTATCCCGGAGGACTTATGCCATTTGCTCAGTTATCATTTCCTTTGTGAGGGGATTTTCCCCTCCCTGGCCTCCTTGACTCCTACCGATAGCTAAATTAGCTTGCGCGGATAGGGTCCTACTAGAACTAGCGGTTCGGACACTTCTGCGACCTCGACTTTGGGCGAGTGTCCGACCTCGAACTGTTGGTGGGGCTATGCCATTAATACCTCCCCCATTGAGGGCGTTCCTTGTTGATCCACGAGAAACCATACTGACATAATAGGGTATTATCGTTTTAACAAGGTTCTAAAGTCAACATAACACATTACATTTATATATATATATATATATATAGTCACTATATATAAGCGAAATACACAATAAAGAATTCGCGTCGAAAATTTCATAATGCTCAATAAGCTATATATATTTCGTGTCGATAAACAATCATGGGGAGAGACACATTACTTAATCCCATTTACTTACAAAAGATGGGATTCTTCATAATTCTAAACACATCTTTAAATCATGTGAATGCTAAAAAAAATTTATTGAAGCACTGGACTAGATGAAAATTCGATCAACTATCTAGACACGCATAATTAAATCACATAACCAAAAGATCTTTCTCTCTTCCCTCTCTCAAAAGGATTCTATGTCTAAAACTGATCTGCGGGGTAATAAGGGAGATAAGGGTCCCTCAACCACTCCTCAAAAGATGTGGATGACCTGGAATGCCACAACACACTAGCCTTTGGGCCATTTTTGATGCATTGGACCCAGTCGGAGAACTACTCCCTCACTACACCAGCATAGGCTATGGTCATTCTCTTATAGAAGTGAACTCTGTCTCTGAATCTAGCGCCTATGGGGCGAGCAGCAATTCTTCGCTCCTGTTCAAGTACAACTTTATCTCAAATCAGTGCATGACGTTGTTCCGACAAATTTGCATTCTCTTCAATTAGCTCGTTTAGGGCTCCTCCTTGTTCGACATGTGCCTGCTGAAGATTGTTCAGTCATTCATTCAGTCTAGTATTGCCATCTAAAGTTTGGGTCAATCTCTCTCTTAGCCTTGCGTTCTTGCCCCTCAAGGTCTCTATAGTCTCCATCATGTCCTCACGTGTAGGGGTGCGGGGCGTGTAGTCCACCGAAGGCTCGGGTGTGGTCCTTCGCCTGATGGGCTCTCGTGAAGACACTTCACTAGTGTAGGGCAGACTATCACTTCTGGACCGGGTACCGGAAACATGTCTGGCGCTGGAGCAGTGACTGTCAATAGATCCTCTATTCGGTTCTAACCCGTAAGGTGTCCTATGTGTTCCGAATCCGCGTCCACGTCCGCGTCTGATAGACCTAGTGTGAATGGTGTGAACCATGTCTCCTACAAGTCATAAAAGGAACATTATGTCGAGTAGTAACATAGGATCAAACTTAATCGCATGATAAGCAATACTAATACACAATAAACATGTGCTTCTAATAATCCTCTCAGTTTAAGCATAGGCTAAGTAAATCTTAACCTAATTATCTTAAACTAAAGCTTCGATACCAACTTGTAACACCCTCATTTTTTTTTTTAGAATGTCACGTAACCTGAAACAAATTCCTAAATAAATACTCCAAAAGACGGCTAAAATAAAACC